TTCTTTCATCTGAGAATAAGTTACAAAATAGGCTTTCCTTCTCATATGCAGAAACAGTAGTTCATGCTTTTATGACTTCAAGGCTGAATTACTGTAATGCTGTGTTTGCTGGCTGCCCAGCATACAGTCTATTATCAAACTTCAGCCAGTACAAAATGCAGCTGCCAGAGTTCTTAACAGGTCTAGAAAATATGATCAAATCACCTCAATTTTATCCTCCTTACACTGGCTGCCTGTTAAGTTTCGTATTGAATTTAAAATGTTGCTACTTACCTATAAAGTTTTAAATAAACTAGATCCTGTTTACCTTACTAACTTTCTGTCTCGCTTCATTGCATCAGCTCTTTAAGATATGAAAGCTTTAGCTATAGTTCTACCAGGAAGACTAAAATGTCACATCATTCATAATAATAATCTCGTCAGCCTATAACAACCAAGCAAGCCATATATAAAAGCCCATCTAAACAATCTGTTTCGCTGTACTCAGGTAACATTGCGGAAGTTTCCCTCCATCCTCCCCACCACCACCACCACCACCACCACCACCACCAACACCAGGTCGGCCTCGTCTCCACTCAAGGGGTTGGCTTTGCCCTGTCTTCATCTTCAGGCAGGATCTGCTAGCTCATCCAGAGTTCTGCACTATAGACGGGGCTTACGCCAAAGGACTTTATGAAAGGATCGTAACGAACTCGCATTTATGCAAACAATTCACAATAAATGTTCAAACGTTTATCTGCCTCCTAAAGTCTTTCTGGTAAAACTAAACAAACTCAGGGCTTCTGGTTGTCCCTAAAATAGCAAAGTCAAGTAAAGGGGGTTGAGCCTTTTTAATTAAGGCTCCTAAACTTTGGAATAGCCTTCCTGATAATGTCTGGGTCTCAGACACACTCTCCTAGTTCAATACAAGATCAAAGACCTATCTATTTATAAAAGCATACACTCAATGCATTGCTTAATGGTATGATGCATGAGTGTACTCCATGCAGGTAAGCGGGCTTGATAACCACATGTAGGACATACTCCACCTGTCTTAATGCACCGAACATTTTGTTAAAAACACTCATATGCTTTGCAAGTTTGTTTCTATGTTTGTTTAAATAACTACTATTTTTATTTAAAGCACTTCATTTTTGCATCTCGTTTAAATACACTATGAACAGCTGCTACGCTAATTACTTTCTTTGTTCTCCACCTGGGTATACTCATCTCGAGGCCTCTAGAGACTATGCAGTGACATTGATGCGATTCAAGACCTGTGAAGAGACGATCCAAAGATATTCATAATCATGGACCAGGCCGTATCCCAAACTAATGTGGTGGTCATGGAGGAATGGAGTGCATGAGACACAGAGATTCTTGCAAGACCACACTGACAAATGATTCCTGATCTCCCGCCGGTGCCCTACCCACACCTCTAACTTCTCCATGATGATCGTCCAGCTTCTCCAGCCTTCGGTGCCCAGACTGCAGCTCCACACAAGATGTTTGGCCAGAAGAATTATGGTCATGCCCAACAAAGATTGGTTTCTCTCAAGATTGTTTTCCTTCACTTCGTCAATTGAAGTTTTTTTTTTCCTCGCCACTGTCCACTGGCTTGCTCAGATTGGGACGTGTCGATCTGCGCTTCGGTGGATTTGCTCTTCAGTGATTGAACTTTCAGCAGTGTAAATTAAACGACACTGAACTGAACTTCAACTCTGAAATCTGGACTTTACTAGAATAATTGTGGCGTATCTATTATCCGCCACTGTGCCTGAACCATGCATGAACCCATCATGATGGCTACACACTGCCTTTAAGAGGTAGTGTATTTTGGTGTAGTGTATTTACCAGTTAGTGTAACTTTTGAAATGGTATGAAAGTGTTGAGTAATTGACTAACAACACTACTTCTTTCAGCTCATGTGGGTAAAAAGGAGGGCACAGAAGCAAAACTTCACCTCAAACCTTACATGGTTTTTCTTCAGATGTATTGGCAACATATCTGCTGGTTTCCTCATTTTTAAGAGGGCTGGGTTTCCCAATAATCATGTGTCTTGGCTCTTAAGATGGTTTTGTACATGCAAGGTTTTGAACATTCTTTGCAATTCCACATTTTTCTCAAAAAGACAGACAACATAATCACGCAAGAACAGTTTCTACTGGCTACTTAGAATTTGTGGCCTATTTCCAAATTGCTGAAATATAGCTATACCTATATGAATTCATATAGCTTGAATGTTTAAAACAAAAATCATCATCTATCGTCTTTTATAAATCACTGTAAGGCACCTACGTAAAGACTGGGGCATAAAACGGATATAAAAAACCTTAAAGTTTAAGAACAGATGGTTATCAATAAGAAATGCATGGATTATCCCTATTGTTTTTTATTGTTTGTTTATATAACCACTATTTTCATTCAAAACACTTAATTTTTGCATCTATTTTCTTTAATCTCGACCTGGGGATACTCATATCGAGGCCTCTAGAGACTATGCAGTGCCATTGATGCAATTCAAGATCTGTGAAGAGATGATCCCAAGACATCCATAATCCTGGACCAGGCCGTATCCCAAGCTAATGTGATGGTCATAGGGGAATGGAGTGCATGGGACACAGAGATTCCTGACAAACAATTCCCCACATTAATCCTGTTGGTTAGCTTAATCTCCCGCCGGTGCCCAACCCACATATGCAACTTCTCCATGATGGACGTCCAGCTTTTCCAACCTCCTTTTTTTTTCCTCGCCACTGGCTTGCTCGAATCGGGACTTGTGGAGCTGTGCTTTGGTGGATTTGTAGTTTATATGGACCCATTTCTTCTGAATCAAGATCCTGCAAGTGTTTCTCCTTCCTACAGAACATGTGGGATTAGAATTAGTGTCCTGTTTTCTGTTGTTTGCAACATTTTTATTCATTTGTGTCATTTGTGTTTTTTTAACTTGTAATCGATCGCGTACCTTGTAACCACGTATCTATTATACATTAGTGCTTGTAAAGTATCTCTCAGGTTAAATCTTTTAAGCTATGTTACATATTGCAACCAAAACCATGTTGAAAACACTTCTTCCTTTATGGATTTAAATGTGTATTGTGCAATTTTCTTTTAAATAGTTCAACGTTGCCACTGTGTGGATTAATACTGAATGTGTGTCATTGTTATTGCTTGGGGTTGAGGTCAAGAGTAATATGTTGGTGTTTAACTGCATTGATTTAATGCACTCCTGCATTGGGCTCACACATATACTTTGTGTTTCTTCCTGACCATGGTGAGCATTTCTCTCTGTCTCGTGATGACCACAGTCAATCAATCACAACAGACAGTCTCATCGGACCAATCACCGCAGGTTAGCATCACACAAAGGAGGGGTTTAGGAATAAATGAATCACTGAACAAATCATATGGGAGTCTTTGAGATAATTAGGTAAAAATAAATGCATATTATAAGACAATGAAAGTGTTTTTTTACTTAACGTTCATGTCAGCTGTTGTTGAAGACGCCCAAAACCAAAATAGGACATTTAATAATGCAAAACAGGGGCTCTTTAAACGGTGACTGCTTTCTTGGCTTTAGTGAAATGTTGTATTTGTATTTAAAAGCTTGTGTACAAATTTGATGGCTTTTAAGTGACTTTGTGCTTGAACTGTTCATGATGGCTACACACTGTCTTTAAGAGGTAGTGTATTTACCAATCGGTGTGACTTTTGAAATGGCATGAACGTGTTGAGTAATTGACTAACAACACTACTTCTTTCAGCTCATGTGGGCACAGAAGCAAAACCTCACCTCAAACCTTACATGTTTTTTTTTTTTCAGATGTACTGTATTGGCAACATATCTGCTGGTTTCCTCATTATTGAAGAGGGGTGGGTTTCCCAATAATGATGTGTCTTGGCTCTTAAGATGCTTTTGTACATGCAAGGTTTTGAAAGTTCTTTGCAATTCCACATTTTTCTCAAAAAGGCAGACAACATAATCATGCAAGAACAGTTTCTACTGGCTACTTAGAATTTGTGGCCTATTTCCAAATTGCTGAAATATAACTATACCTATATGAAGTCGTATATCTTGAATGTTTAAGACAATAATCATCATCTAACGTCTATTGTCAATCACTATAAAGCATCTACATACAGACTGGGGCATAAAACAGATGTAAAAAACCTTAAAGTATAAGAACAGATGGTTATCAATAAGAAATGCATGGATTATCCATATTGTTTTCCATTTTTTTTCAGTTAGTTCTTTCCATAGGTTGTTTTGTGCATGTCATACTGAGATCTAGCCTTTACTTGTAGTACAAGCTTAAACTTGTACCTCAACTTTTACAGTTGAAGTCAGAATTATTAGCCCCCCTTTAAAGTTTTTATTTATTTTTTGCTTTTTTTAAATATCTCCCAAATGATGAAGTATGTCTGATAATTTTTTTTTTTTTTACTGGAGAAAGTCTAATTTGCTGTATTGCGGCTAAAATAAAAGTAGTTAAACATTTTTTAAAACCATTTTAAGGTCAAAATTATTAGCCCCTTTAAGCAATTTATTTGATAGTCTACAGAACAAACCATCGTTATACAATAACTTGCCGAATTACCCTAACCTGCCTGGTTAACCTAATTAACCTAGTTAAGCCTTAAATGTGACTTTAAGCTGAAAAACTAGTCTGGAAAAAAATCTAGTAAAATATTATTTACTGTAATCATGGCAAAAATAAAATAAATCAGTTATTAGAGATGAGTTATTAAAACTATAGTGTTTAGAAATGTGTTAAAGATACTTTCTCTCCGTTAAACAGAAACTATGGAAAAAAATAAACTGTATCATTCATTCAAAACCCAGTAAAAACAAGTAACACATTAATTTAATTTGTGCCTTTAATTGAGTTTGTGCCTGAAGAGTTCATGGTGGCTGGAAACAAAAGAGGTGTATTTTGTGAGAGTTTCATTGTGGGCCAGTTGGTGTGGTTTTCGAAATGACTCATACTTTACTGGCAGCCAATCAAATGGGTTTCCTCCACTCTTAAGAAAACAAAAGCTGTTGCTCAGGGTGCAAAATTAAAATTAAAACATCAGTTTGAATGTCTGTACCCACCTTTAGTGTCTATTTTTAGAGAGGTGTATTTACTGTATAGTGTTTTTTTCATTGAGAGCTCACTGACAGTCTTCATCATGACCATCATCATCATGTCTGTGCTCCTGCTGGTTTCTCTAGTGCCACACCTGACCTTCACTGGTAAGACATGACTTAAAGGTTTGTTAAGAATATTGAAAATACATGTTCTAATGCAGTAATTTACTAACAACACTATTGCTTTCAGCCCATGTGGGTATAGAGGACGGCACTGAAGCAAAACCTCACTCCAGACCTTACATGGTTTCGCTTCAATATTATAGCCAACATATCTGTGGTGGATTCCTCATTACTGAACAATTTGTCTTGACTGCTGCACATTGCTGGGCAAAGTAAGAGTTTTGTTTAGCGTGAACTGAGCTAAAATCCTCTTTGATTGACACATCAGCTGCAGTAGAGTCATACAGTGCATCATATGACAGTGATATACAATGTGCTTTTTTTTTTAAACAGAGGTTTGGTCCTCTCGGTTGTCGCTGGCGCCCATTATTTGAGTGAAAATGAAATTTACGACTCATTTGAAGTGGAATCCTACATCCCGCATCCAGACTATAATTCTAATACATTTGAGAATGACATCCTGCTTTTGAAGGTATCAACCTGTAATACTTTTATTCTTTGGCATTTGGTGGTTCTGTTTTGAAACACTCAAACAAAAATAGCAGAATAATCACAAAAAAATAAGTCGTTAACCGTTTTCAATATGGGTGCACTAATATCCATAAAAATACTTAACTAATGCACGGATAATCATGGCATATTGTATATTTAAAACTTTATCACTGCATGAACAACAAATGAGCATTCTATATGGTTCATACTTTAAGTAATCTTTAAACTGTAATAGTTAAATGAGTCATAATGAACTAATTCCCTAATAGCATATAGTATTAACTAATAGTGTTAATGTGTTGAAGACAGGTCATAACCATGTTTTTTCAACTACCAATTGTTTAATATTTTGCCAAAGTATCATGATGTTATGATTTTAATTGTTGAGCCACAGACAGGACATAAACTGACTAGTTATAGAATATAACAAAGTAGTTAACAGTCCTGTGCCTAAACAAGCAGCGATAACATAATGGGTAAGATTCTTTTAATTGACAGTTCATGCTGTTAATAAACCATTAACTAAGACATTTACCTCAACAAATACTCGTTAGCTGCTTATTAATAGTTAGTAACTTAGATATTGGGTTTAGGATTTTGGTAGGATTAGGGATGTAGAATAAATCATACTTTATAAGTACTAATAAACAGTTAATATCTTAATAACAGGCAGGAAATACGTCAGTTGTCAACAATGTGAATTGTGACAGACAAAAATGTTACCACACAATGATTCCTTTGCAAATCTTTAGCTAATAATTAACTAAAGCAGACAATTGCAAGTTTAATTAAATGACTTAAATTAATTTAACATATGAATTTATATCATTATTAATATAATATGTTATTAGAGAATAAATACATTATGACTCATTTAAATAATCGTTTATGGATTAATGTAATCATATCAGGTATATTCAATTTTTCCTCGTGAAGTAATCATCAATGATTGTTAAGCTCTTAAAGAGTTATGCATGACCTGTGACTTTATGAACATTATGTAAACATCATTTTGAACATTAGTACATACCAATACGTTCATAATTAACAATTGTGTTTTGGATTACAGCTAAAGACAAAAGTTAGACTGAGCAACATTGTTGGAATGATATCATTACCAAAGGATGGAGAAGATGTTAAAGCAGATACTCTCTGTAGTGTTGCTGGTTGGGGAACACTGTGGAAAAATGGCCCAAAGACTGATCGTCTAATGGAGGCAGAGACAGTTATAGTGAATGATGCAGAGTGTGAACGCAGATGGGGATCTCTTTATAAGGCCTCAAAGATGATCTGTGTTTATGGTCATGGTGGATCCTGCTATGTATGTATAAAAGATGATTCATAATTTATGTTAATGTTTGAACTAATTTCACTAGTGACGTGTTGATCTTTGTGTTTTAACAGGGGGATTCTGGAGGTCCTTTGGTTTGTGATAACACTGCTTTTGGTATCACTTCTTTTGTTGACCTTTATCTCTGTAATTCACGTTTGCGTCCTAATGTGTATACTAGGACTTCGGCACATCTCCCCTGGATCCACAACATAACTGGAAATTTTTAGTGGCTTCATGTAAAAAGATTTTTTATTGAATTTTTATGTAAAATTTTCAATAAAAGTATGAAATGGCAAGCATCAATCAGTTGTATCGTCTTCATTGTCATAACCATTTAGAATTAGAATTTTACATAATTATAACTACAAGATTATAAGGGTTGAAAACTACTGGTCAAACAGTAAGATCATACGGTGGCCAGGAAGTGCAAAACAACATTACAAAGAGTGAAACACTTTTAACAAGCTCGAGACTAATTTACATTTTGAAAAAACATTTTTACCTATCATCAGACACAGTTACATAGGAAAAACAATTTTACCAAGGACCAAACAAATTTATGGAGGACACGGACCAGACATACTGCATTAATGGGCTCTATTTTGACGGTCCATGCTCAGAGCGCAAAACGCAGGGCGCAAACGCTTTCAGGACTTGTCAGAACACGTTTTTGCTAATTTAAGGACGGGAAAATCTACTTTGCACCGTGGTGTATGGTCTAAAAGGGTTGAGTTTATTTTCTTAATGAGTTATAGGTGTGTTTTGAGAATAAACCAATTAGAGTCTCATCTCCCATTCCCTTTAAGAGTCAGCTGCGTCGCGCCAAGAGCACATTCGCTATTTACAGGACGCAAAGTAAGTCTAAGTGGAAAAAAATTAGCATTTTACTGGCAAACAGTTAACAGTTTTTTTAACAGAAAACTGTTAAACAGAGCATCTACTGCGTAAGAATGAGAGATAATGGATCACTTTCACTTTCGCTCTTGGATAGGGAAACCTTTACGCACAGACATCAATTAGTCTATAAATAAATAATTTTGTTTGTTAAGCGCAAATATTCGTTTCAAAACTATTTCTAAATTCAGTTCTAATTTCCAGCAAACGAATAAATGAACAATAATAACAAAATGTGCTCAAAAACCTGAGTTATATCCTAAAACACATGCTGTGTCCCATATGGTCTAAAACCTGACAGGTGGGCAAATCTAAGCTTGTTTTTAATAAAACAAATATAAATATGGATATAATAAATAATACTGCTAATAATAATAACATTATACAAAAGCAAATTGTTATGAATGAACTGAAAAAGCCTCCCGAGATGAAGAAGATATAAAAGCAGTGATTTTTCATATTTATGTAGGCTAGAAAATAATGTTTTGTAATATTTTAATCCTTTATATTTATATCCTATATCTATTCTTATTATATCATATATATACCCTTAATATTTAAAATTTTTCACATGTAAAGATATTTGCCTATTGCTCTCTTGTGCGTATTAAGCAGTGCGTAAGCGAGGCTCAACTCTGCGCCAGAGTTTAGACCGGGTTTGTTTTGGTCTAATGAAAAATCTATTATAGTTTCTCCAAATAGCAACGCGCTAGAACGACTTCCTATTTAGACCAGAACGCCTATGGGCGCACAAATGAGCGCTAATGCATTTGCTATTTAAACAGCGTAGCGCACCGCCTCAAAACGACTCTTGCGCCAAGCTGAAACTACCAAAAGACTGTTGCGCCGCGCCTTGCACCACATTGCGCCATGCGTATGATAGGGCCCAATGTGTTCAATATTTTAACGAGGGCCACTCGTACACTGTAATCATGGACAAGATGTCAAGTCTACACGTTGTAGACATCTGCTTGAGGACTCTTAACAGTTAACTGAATGAAGCCGGTGTTATGGTTTAACTGGTGTCCGTGTTAACTGAGGCCCCTTTTCAGATGTGAACTATTCACGTTTGCAGATTGTCAGATTCGTCACTTTTTCACAGCAACAAAACATGCCCATATAAATGAATATTCTTATTACTTGGTGTCAGTGTAAACATTATTGATTTTAATATTTGTGTAGCAGAACAGTGTATAACCAAAATTAATGTAAAGAAATTATTATAATTGACATGTCAGGATTCAGGATTCAAACCCAAGTCAAAAGGTTCTGCGCGAGTATCAATCGACCTCTCTAACTGAACTGCTCAGGTCTACAGGTTGGGGTCCGTTTTGATCTCTTTATCAGTCAACATGTGCCGTGCTTTGATTGTTTCCATGTACCTGTGTTTATATGTTTCTACATTCTCTCACGCTGATATTTTCTCAGAATAGCTCTAATGTTTTATCGCAGTTGGTCAAACCATGATTTTTATAGTTGTAGACTCTTGGAAACCTGTGTCTACAAAGTCACACACAAGCTGATATTTTCCGGTGTGTGTGGTACATTCCACGTCACTTCCGGTGTGTGGAATTGACAAATAGACAGAAGAACAAAATGATCCTGGATCGTGTCAACTTGTCAATAACCAAATCCAGCTAATTAAGTAATCCATGTATGAAGAACGGAATTCTGATCCTTGCTCATTTTTAGCGTAGTGGTGACTCATTACAAGTAACGTGAGTTACGTAATAATATTACTTTTCAAAGTAAAGTATTACTTTTAAAAATCAAGTAATAATATTTCAGTAACTTTTAAAAAAATGTAATTCAAGTTACTTTTTAGTTTAGATAATTTACTAAAAACCTAAATTGCTTAAATTTACTTAAATTGCTTAATTAAAATGAACACAGTCACGTTGAATCTTGCACACAATAAGATAATGCATGAAAAAAAAACTGTAAATTCTGAAAGAGATCAAGCCTCACCCAGGTAAGAAAAAGTAACAAAAAAGGAACTCGAAGGTAACGTAATTTATTTCTTACCATAAAATGTAACTAGTTTATTTTCTGGAGAGTAACTCAATATTGTAATGCATTACTTTCTAAAGTAACTTTCCCCAACACTGCTCATTTTGCTCATAATCTTCTTTGTTTTATGCCTGTGTTGACTATGAAACTTCATGTTATCATTGTATATGAGACATGATGCCCACCTTGAAGAATAAAGGGGAATTGCAGGTTTTGTGTATGCATTACGTATCTGGGATCACTAGCCAATATGAGTATGTATGTTTAAAACATCTAGCACTCAATTTTGGGCATTTCCACCTACCCAACTTTAGATAGTAACAGTTCCTGACTTCAAGCTACAAACACAGCTACAAAGATACAAATGTATCATTGGAAAGGAGGCACTTTGAGCTTTACTGTGTTAAATTTTTAAAAATATAAACATAAAGTTTTACATTATGAAGTCATGAGGAAAAACAATTGTATTGTGTTTAATATTAGTTTTTCATATACAAACACAGGAAAACATTAATGTAATGTCTTAGAAAACTTGAATGCCAAGTATTTCATGAGTTTATATTTTAAATTTGATGAAGATAGCACACAAATTGATATTTCTGTAAAAGTTTTCCGAGGCTATGTCGATGTCCTTCTCTCCCTCACTGTCAGAGGCACTTTCTCAAAAATGATCTTCCCAAGTTGAAAGATTTACAGTTGCTGAATGATTTGATCTACATTCAAAGTTTATGTATCTTTGGAAAGAAGACACTCTGGGCACTCCATCATCTAGTTTATAATGCTCAAAATAAAAAATAAAATAAAAAAGTTATAGATGCTGAAGCACTGTAAAAACAATTGCATCGCACTAAACATTTGATTATTTCATAAACAAATATGTGAAATTTGTTCTGGAGCAATACAAATAAGTAATAGGTCATAAGTCACAGATCTCCTGAATATATGTTTTCAATTTGACACCAATATTATGCTAAATGAAATTTCTGGAATTATTTTTCTAAGACAATATCTTGTGCTTTTCTCCCTCTCCTTATTTGTGGAGAAGTCTGATGACCACACGTACTCACGTTTCACATACCACTAATTCTTATTTGTAAAATAATAAGCATAAACAAAGTATGAATGATTTATTTGAGCACAAGTAGTACATTGTGTGAAATAAGTCCAGTGCATATTGTTTTGCTCATCACTCACTGACAGAAAGTGCTTCATGGGAGTTTGCTGCTGCTTGAAATCCTCAGCAGAGATTCAGCTACATGACAAAAAAAAAACTGAATTAGGATTCTATTGTAAACAATTGTATTTCCCCCCTTGAGTAGCAAACACAATTTACTCTAAAGCCCATATACATATGATAATTTGTATACGGGCTTTAGTGTGTTTACAGATAGCTTAGCTTTTATAAAGATAGCTTACCAAACAGCAGCCATTCAGATAAATGGCAAACATACTGTATGATAATGCCAAACATTACTGAAAGATTATGGCTGGCGGAGAGACATTCACACTTTTAGGGACAAGCAGGCTAAACACAGAGAACACCTGAGATGTAAACAATGAGCCAATAAGAGTAAATACTCACTGTATTGATTTACATTCATACACTCATATGCTTTACATGTTTGTTTATTTAACTACTTTTTTCATTTATAACACTTCATTTTTCCATCTTGTTTAAATGCACACAATATGCACAATATGAACAGCAGCTACGCTAATTATTTTCTTTAATCTCCACCTGTGGGTACTCATCCAGAGGCCTCTAGAGACTATGCAGTGCCATTGATGCGATCCAAGACCTGTGAAGAGGCATGATCCAAAGATATCCATAATCATGGACCAGGCCGTATCCCGAGCTAATGTGGTGGTCATGGAGGAATGGAGTGCATGAGACACAGAGATTCCTGCAAGACCACATTGACAAATGATTCCCCACATTAATCTTGTGGTCCAGTCTGATCTCCCACCGGTGTCCTACCCACACCTGCAACTTCTCCATGATGGACGTCCAGCTTCTAAAGCCTCCGGTGCCTAGACTGAAGCTCCGCACAGGAAGTTTGGCCAGAAGAATAATGGTCATGCTCAACAAATCCTGGTTTCTCTCACAATTTATTTTCCTTCACTTCGTCAATTGGTGAAGTTTTTTTTTTTTTTTCTGTCTACTGGCTTGCTCGGATCTGGACTTGTGGAGCTGCGCTTCCGTGGATTTGCTCTTCAGTGTTTGGACTTTCAGCAGTGAAAATTAAACCACACTGAAGTGAACTAAACTGAACTTCAACTCTGAAATCTGGACTTTACTAGAACAATGTTAAGCTGCTTTGACACAAACTACAAAGTAAAAAGCGCTATATAAATAAACTTGAATTAAATTGAATATACCATGTGCTGTGTTTGTTCCTGTCATTTTTCTGATTGATACAATAATCTACCTTGCAACAACAGACGGATTCGCCGGACGTTTGTTATTAAAGGAAGGAGCAGCAAAGACTATGTGACTTCGTCAGGAGCTGTTACACAGTTTATATGGACCTGTTGCCTCTTCATCCAGATCCTACAGGTTTCTCCTTCCTACAGAACATGTACAGTTGAAGTCAGAATTATTAGCCCCCCTAAATTATTAGACCGCTTGTTTATTTTTTCCCCAATTTTTGTTTAAGGGAGAGAAGATTTTTTTCAACACATTTCTAAACATAATAATTTTAATAACTCACTTCTAATAACGGATTTATTTTATTTTTACCATGATGACTGTAAATAATATTTGACTAGATATTTTTTAAGACACTTCTACACAGCTTAAAGTGACATTTAAAGGCTTGACTAGGTTAATTAAGTTAACTAGGCAGGTTAGGGGAATTAGGCAAGTTATTGTATAACAGTGGTTTGTTCTGTAGATTATCGAGAAAAAATGTAGCTTAAAGGCGCTAATAATTTTGTCGATAAAATGGTTCATAAAAAATTTAAAACTGCTTTTATTCTTGCCGAAATAAAACAAATAAGACTTTCTCTAGAAGAAAAAATATTATCAGACATACTGTGAAAATGTCCTTGCTCTGTTAAACATCAATTGGAAAATATAGAAGGGGGCTAATAATTCTGACCTCAACTGTAAGTGTGATAAAAATTAATGTTTTGTTTTCTGTAGTTTGCAAAATATGTATTTAATTGTATTTTGTAACTTGTAATCACTCTGTGCGGCCTGTAACCACGTATCTGTTATATTATTTAGTGCTTGTAATGTATCTCTCAGGTTAAATCTTTAAGGCTATTTCACATATTGCAACCAAAACCATGTTGAAAGTGCAATGTCTGCCTCTTCCCTTATGAATTTAAATGTGTTTTGTGCAGTTTTCTTTTAAATAGTTCAATGTTGCCACTGTGTGGATTAATACTGAATGTGTGCCATCGTTATTACTTGGGATTAGGGTTAAGAGTAGAGTAATATGCTGGTGTTTAACTGCATTGGTTTAATGCACTCCTGCATTGGGCTCACACATATACTTTGTGATACTTCCTGACCATGGTGGCTATTTCTCTCCGTCTCGTGCTGACCACAGTCAATCAATCACAACAGACAGTCTCATCGGACCAATCAATGCAGGTTAGCATCATGCAAAGGAGGGGTTTAGGAACAAATGAATCACTGAACAAATCATATGGGAGTCATTGGGATAATTAGGTAAAAATAAATGCATAAGACAATGAAAGTGTTTTTTTCACTTTACGTGCAAATCAGCTGTTGTTGGAGACCCCCAAAACCAAAATATGACATTTATAATGCAAAACAGGGGCTCTTTAAACTGTGACTGCTCTCTTGGCTTTGGTGAAATATGGTATTTGTATTCAAAAGCTTGTGTACAAATTTGATGGCTTTTAAGTGACTTTGTGCCTGAACTGTTCATGATGGCTACACACTGTCTTTAAGAGGTAGTGTATTTACCAATCGGTGTGACTTTTGAAATGGCATTAACGTGTTGAGTAATTGACTAACAACACTACTTCTTTCAGCTCATGTGGGCACAGAAGCAAAACCTCACCTCAAACCTTACATGTTTTTTCTTCAGATGTATTGGCAACATATATGCTGGTTTCCTCGTTATTGAAGAGGGGTGGGTTTCCCAATAATGATGTGTCTTGGCACTTAAGAAGGTTTTGTACATGCAAGGTTTTGAACGTTCTTTGCAATTCCACATTTTTCTCAAAAAGGCAGACAACATAATCATGCAAAAACAGTTTCTACTGGCTACTTAGAATTTGTGGCCTATTTCCAAATTGCTGAAATATAAGTATACCTATATGAAGTCGTATATCTTGAATGTTTAAGACAATAATCATCATCTAACGTCTATTATCAATCACTATGAAGCATCTACATACAGACTGGGGCATAAAACGAATGTAAAAAAATGTAAAGTTTAAGAACAGATGGTTATCAATAAGAAATGCATGGATTATCCATATTGTTTTCCAGTTTTTCCAGTTAGTTCTTTCCATAGTTTGTTTTGTGCATGCCATGTACTGAGATCTAGCCTTTACTTGTAGCATAAGCTTAAACTTGTACCATAAACTGACCTCTTTCTCGGTTTACAGTTGTTCAGAATTATTAGCCCACCTTTGATTTTTTTTTTTTTTTTTATATTTTCCAAATAATGTTTAACAGAGCAAGGACATTTTTTACAGTTTGTCTGATAATATTTTTTCTTCTGGAGAAAGTCTAATTTGCTTTATTTCGGCTAGAATAAAAAACGTTTTTAATTTTTTGATAAAACATTTTAAGGTCAAAATTATTAGCCCCTTTAAGCAATATGTTTTCAATAGTCTACAGAACAAACCATCGTTATACAATAACTTGCCTAATTACCCTAACCTGCCTAGTTAAACTAATTAACCTAGTTAAGCCTTTAATTATCAATTTAAGCTGAATACTAATTACTGAATACTAATTAATTAATTAATTAATTAATAAATTAATAAATTAAATTAACTTAATTAATTAATACTGGAAAAATATCTAGTAAAATAATATTTACTGTCATCATGGCAAAGATGAAATAAATCAGTTATTAGAGATGAGTTATTAAAACTATAGTGTTTAGAAATGTGTTGAAGAAACTTTCTCTCTGTTAAACAGAATTTATAGAATAAAATAAACAGGGCGGCTAATAATTTTGAGTGAAAAGTGTAAGTGAAAAGTAGTATTGTGAATGAGGCTGGATCATTCATTCAAAACCCTGTAAAACAAGTACCACATTTAGTGGCCTTTAATTGAGTTTGTGCCTGAAGAGTTCATGATGGCTGGAAACAAAAAGAGGTGTATTTTGTGAGAATTTCATTGAATTTCAGCCAATCAAATGGGTTTCCTCCACCCTTAAAAAAACAAAAGCTGTTGCTCAGGGTACAAAATTATTTAATTGTTGGTAAGAATATTGAAAATAAATGTTCTCAGTAATTGACTAACAACACTATTGCTTTCAGCTCATGTGGGTATAGAGGACGGCACTGAAGCAAAACCTCACTCCAGACCTTATATGGTTTCTCTTCAGATAAACAGCAAGCATATCTATGGTGGATTCCTCATTACTGAACAGTTTGTCTTGACTGATGCACATTGCTGGGCAAAGTAAGAGTTTTGTTTAGCGTGAATTGAGATGTTGAGCTAAACTCCTCTTTGATTGACACATCAGCTGCAGTAGAATCATACAGTGCATCATATGACAGTGATATACAATGTTTTTTTTTTTTTAACAGAGGTTTTGTCCTTACGGTTGTGGTTGGCGCCCATCATTTGAGTGAAAATGAAATTTACGACTCATTTGAAGTAGAATCCTACATCCCGCATCCAGACTATAATTCTAATACATTTGAGAATGACATCTTGCTTTTGAAGGTATCAACCTGTAATACTTTTATTGGTAACTCTTTATAATAACTACACATTATGAATCATTTATTAAGCATTAGCAAATAGTGAATTCATTATTTGTTAAGCATCAACTCTACATTAATAAACGTTAGCAGTTTATAACTGCAGCTACAAATGCTCTATTCTTGACTTATAAGCACCATATATTGTGCTTTATAATTGTACTTTCATACTTAGTTAATTATTTTTTTCATTACTAAATTAAGTATCGCATTATTTACAAACCAGTTGTGTTTAAGAGTAGTTGAGGGTTTTTAGGATCATTCAGAATGAGTTAGTAAATGATTAATAAACAATTGAAATCAATATTTATCTATCCTATTATTCTGGCATATACTAATAGTTATCTAATATGTTAATAAATGTTTTATTAACTCAACTTCATGCAGTTTTGTGACCTAATCTAAAGTGAGGACTATTTATGCGTTATAAATCCCTCATAAATGACAGATAAAGGCTCAGAATCAAATGAACAATTATCTTTGCAATCTTTCTAAAAAGTAAAATTACTGTAAAGTTTAAACACTGCTGAATAACAGGAGTGTCAAAATACGACATGCAACTGGATAAAACAACAACAATATAATACGATTTAATGTTTAAACACTTGAGTGATTATATTTTAGTTAAGGTTGAAAAGATTTATTTTTCATTTGAAGTACAGTTTTATTTGTGTGTCTTTAAATTAATAGGAATGAATAATGTAATTTGTTGTGCTTAGAATTTAACTGAGCCTTTATTTGTCATTTACAAGGGATTTCTAAAGCATAAATAGTCCTCACTTTAGATTAGGTCACAAAACTGCATAAAGTTGAGTTAATAAAGCATTTATTAACATATAGTAGCCATTATATATGCCTGAATAATAAGACATAAAAATGTTGATTTCAATTGTTTATTAATCATTTACTAACTCATTCTGAATGATCCTAAAACCCCCCAACAATTCTTAAATACAACCGGTTTGTAAATAATGCGATACTTAATTTAATAATGAAAAAAATCATTAACTAAGTATGAAAGTGCAATTATAAAGCACAATATATGTTGCTTATAAGTCAAGAATAGAGCATTTGTAGCTGCAGTTATAAACTGCTTACTAACATTTATTAATGTAGAGTTAATGCTTAACAGATAATGGATTTACTATTTGCTAATGCTTAATAAATGATTTATTTTGTGCAGTTATTATAAATTGTTACCCTTTTATTTTTTGGCATTCGGTGGTTCTGTTTTGAAACAAACAAAAATAGCAAAAACAGTCGCTAATAGTTTACAATATTGGTGCACTAATATCCATTAAAATACTTAACTAATGCACAGATAATCATGGGATAATGTATATTTAAAACTTTATCACTGCATTAACAACAAATGAGCATTCTATATGGTTCATACTTTAAATAATCTTTAAACTGTAATAGTTAAATGTGTCATAATGTATTAACTCCCTAATAGCATATAGTATTAACTAATAGTGTAAAAGTGGTGAAAACCGGTCATAACCATGTTTTTCAAATAACAGTTGTTTACTTGAATGATTTGCAAAAGTATCATGATGTTATGATTTTAATTGTTGAGCCACAGACAGGACACCAACTGACTACTTTCAGTATATAACAAAGTAGTTAACAGTTCTGTGCCTAAACAAGCAGTCTTCACATCATAATGGGTAGTGTTGGGGTACTCGAACTTGGACTCGGTTTTCATTGGACTCGGACTTGTCACGGACTTGGGGAAACTTTTACTCGGACTTGACTCGGACTTGGACATTTTGGACTCAGAAAATATCACGAGTCCAGTCGAGTCCACATCATTTACAACACAAATAAAGATATTAAAAATGAATAAATAACAGCATGAAACTATAACAAGAATTTAGCGATCTCTCTGGCTGCATGTCAGCTTTTATTTACGCCACCGCACCATACCAGCAGGCAGCAGCAGCACGTCATCACCCTAAACGTGTAACCAGAAATAGCAAAAATCACACAATGCGTGGCTAGGTTTAGGACAATAATGTCTTCAAAATCAGCAATTATTTGTCTTCTACCGAAATGTTAAAAGAAAACAAAGAAAGGTAAGAGCTTATTTACTTGAATTGTACATTCATATCGTAGGGATGATGTAACATCTTGGCGATATTGTTTTGTTGTTTATATTGGTGTCAATATATCCGCAAATAACTGTGAGATTCAAAGTTTCACGCTTTGGCTCTGAGCCAGAGAAATATTCGTTCAGCGCTTGATTTAGGCCAGGGCTTCTCAAATACGGACTCCGTAATATTCAAAGTTTTCCTGTGTGACTCTTATATTGACATCCCCGCAATCATCCCGATTCATTTTCCAATACTTCCCCCTTATGCTTAATCTTTCTATGAAAAGTGAAAGTACCGTCAACACAGCGATCTGAAATGCGATAGAACTGCAAGAACTGTTCAAGAGAATTGTGCTTTCGCTTTATTTTGGCTTGAAAGCACGTTAAAATGAATATAAAAATGTCTGCATTCACTTCCATTAAAGATGTGCGTCGATCACCACATTTCTGAATCAGTGTAGCCTATACATGCTGACTGACGGACGCGTTCTGTATAATAAACTCATCCCAGATCCCAGATCAGCTTCTGCTTTTGAGGGTAGGGTTAGGAGAGTATAAAGATTGTGTAAAATTACAGTAATTAAATGATGGAATAGCAAAAACGTTGTAATAATGTTGCTTGGAGTTGCATATTAAGTCAATATAAGCACAAATGAATTTAATGTAGAGTTATATTAAAATCCAGACAACATTCAGAATGGATAATCAGTGGACTAAGTCCACAAATTCAAGCAATAATTTAATCTTTTTAAAGATAAAATGAGGTTTGAATTTGAATTTGTGTAAAAATTAATATTCAGGTAATATTTTGATGAGAGACATTAGAGAGATTAGGGGTGCCTGTGTCCACAATGTGAGTCTTCTGTGTGAGAATAAACATTACTGATTGTGAGCAGCAGTATATATCTGCCATGTTGAATATGCAAAAGAGAATCTGATAATGACACATTTCTGATTCTATTTATATGTAGTCAATGACCGAGTGCAAGAATATGTGTATTGCACAATTAATCATCTCAAATGTTTCGTTTTAAAATGATTCAGAATTATGCATAGTTGTATGCTGATGTCATCATCACTGTCTTTTGAACAGAGGACCAGGACTGTCTATGACCTATATCCTCAAAAGCCCCCCACCCTCCATTTTTATATATATATATATATATATATATATATATATATATATATATATATATATATATATATATATATATATATATATATTATTATACAATTAATATTCTAAATAAATAACAGAAATTTGTCCTAAATGTAACTGGAACACAAAGACACAACAGGAGTGATGTATTAAGATAATTTGAGAAGTCTTTTGCAAGAATATTAATTTAATTCGACAATTCCATAAGATACAAAAACATATGTTTTATAGAATTATCTGTGGGCTGCAAGGTAGCGCAGTGAGTAGCACTGTCGGCTTACAGCAAGAAGGTTGCTGGTTCGAGCTACGGCTGGGTCAGTTGATGTTTCTGTGTGGAGTTTGCATGTTCTATTCGTGTTGGTGTGGGTTTTCTCCGGGAACTCCGGTTTTCCCCACAATCCAAAAACTATAGGTGAATTGATGAATTAAATTGGCCATAGCATATAAAGGGAAGGGCATCCGCTGTGTAAAACATGCTGTATAAGTTGGCGGTTCATTCCTCTGTGGCGACCCCTGATTAATAAAGGGACTAAGTCGAAAAGAAAAAAAATAAATGAATGAATGAGAATTATATGTTGTCTTTTTAGACCTGAATTGTGAACTGTTTTAGGCCTAATACCTGCCTGACTCTTCATCCTTCTTTTCTGCTTCATAGCATGTTTAGTTAAAATAAGATCATCATCATATTGTTTTAATTTTTGTTTTGTCCAGTTGCAAAACTTACACAGGTTTCACAATGCATAATCGCTGCATATTTTTTCGAAGTGTCCCAGAGTTGCAAAAACTTCTAAGTGTTTGGAATGTACACTTGCTTTATTAAAATGAAAGGATGTCCAAGACAAAGCTAATAAGTGTCTTATGAGTATATGTACACTAGCAGTGGAATTTACTGAAATTCACCTGAAATCTTGCCTAGGGCTCCAAATTGGTTAGGGCCGGGCCTAATCATGATCATGCTGGATAATCGCGAGCGCACGCCTGTTTTAACACACTGCAGCAAAGCAATAATTTAAATGGAAGAAGATGTCAGCCTCACTGAAAAGAATTGATGAAGAGAATAGACAGTTCAAAGTTGAATGAACAGATAAGTATGTGTTTATTTTGCCCTAAGCCAGCTCAAATCAGTAACCTTCTTGCTGTAAGGCCATTTTGCTACCCACTGCGCCACCGTGCTGCATCTTATGGATGTTTATTAAAAACAAGTTATGTAATATCAATTGTTTAATTTCTTTGCTTTGACCTTAATAAAAAAATTCAGATTTAGACCTTTTAATGTAGACATTGAGAACCCTTGTTTCAGGCTATCATTAACAGGTAGACCCAGATCAAGAGCCTAGAAATCTGCACTGGACTATTTTTTTCAGTCTGATTCCCACTGGGTTTTATTTTGCACCCAATCGCCCCGCTATTTATTCACTCTTTCTTTATTTAAAACAAAATTCTTCTGACTGTTAATTCCCTGTTAAGACAGCGGTGAAGCCGAATGGTCTCCCTTTGCTGAACCTTTTATGTTCTGTGCTGATCTGGGTCAGTTGGCATGAGTATGGTTTCATTTTCCACACTGGGGCTGATAACAGTTCTCTGTTATTTGATGTTTAATGTTAATAAAAATGCATTGTTGCCTTGGTAATGCAAGTGTAATTTAAACAAGAAATGTGAAAAAGTGGCATTAGAATAATGTCAAACGTGTGAGTCTTGTAAAATAATAAAAATTCAACATATATCCTCCTATTTTTATTTTAATTTGAAGCAAGCTAACAAAAAATACAAGTCATTTTGTAAAAATGTACAAAAAGTTTAAATTCTTCATTTAACAGTTTAATTGTTAATAGAAAAATATATTTGATTTATTATTATTGTTATTTTACATACGTGGTACCATGGCTCAATGCTTAGCACTGTTGCCGCACAGCAAGAAGGTCACTGGTTCGAGTCTCGACTGGGCCAGGAGTGTTTCTGTGTGGAGTTTGCATGTTCTCCGTGTGTTGGTGTGGGTTTCCTCCGGGTGCTTCGGTTTCCCTCACAGTCCAAACACATGCGCTATAGGGGAATTTAATTTACTAAAATGGCCGGGGTGTGTGAGTGTGAATGAGAGTGAATGGGTTGTGGCTGGAAGGGCATCCGCTGCGTAAAAAATATGCTGGACTAGTTGGCAGTTCGCTGTGGCAACCCCTGATAAATAAGGGATTAAGCCAAAAGAAAAAATAATAAATGAGTTTTAAGACTGTCTGGACTCGGCCGGACTCGACTCGGACTCGCATGTTAAGGACTCGGACTTAAGTCCGACTCGACCCCTTTTGGACTCGGACTCGGACTTGTACTCGACTGGTTAAGGACTTGGTCTCGACTTGGACTAGACAAAGGTGGACTCGACCCCAACTCTAATAATGGGTAACAATTCATTCTGTTAAGAAACCATTACCTAAGACTACTACCTCAATAAACTGCTAATTAGCTGCTTATTAATAGTTAGTAACTTAGATGTTGGGTTTATTTAGTTTTTTTTTTTGTTTTTTTGGTAGGATTAGGGATGTAGAATAAATCATACTTCATAAGTACTAATAAACAGTTAACATCTTTTACAGGCAGGTAATACGGATGTGGTTAAAAGTGTGAACTGTGACAGACTAAAGTGTTACCACACAATGATTCCTTTCCAAATCTTCAGCTAATAATTAACTAAAGCAGACAACTGGAAGTGTAAGTACATGATTTTGACTATGGTGGTATTATATAATATATGAATATATATCATCAGCTATAATAATAAATTTAAATAAGTACATTATAACTAATTTAAATTATAATTTATTGATTATATGGATCATACTGGATATTCATTTTTTGCTCATTAATTAATCATTAATAACTGGTTGAGCTCTCAAAGAGTTATACATGAACCTATGATTATACAGTATTATATACCGATACCGTAGCTAAGCATTATTTTGTATATTAGTATATATTATTGCGTTTATAAATCACAATTGTGTTTTGCATTACAGTTAAATAAAAAAGTCAGACTGAGCAACATTGTTGGACTGATATCATTACCAAAGGATGGAGAAGATGTTGAAGCAAATACTCTCTGTAGTGTTGCTGGTTGGGGGGATCTGTGGGGAAAAGGCCCAGAGACTGATCGTCTAAGAGAGGCAGAGACAGTTATAGTGAATAATGCAGAGTGTGAACGCAGATGGGGATCTGATTATGTGGTCTCAAAGATGATCTGTGTTTATGGTCATGGTGGATCCTGCAAAGTATGTATGATATTGTAGATGATTCAGAATTTGTTAATGTTTAAACTAATTTCACTAGTGACGTGTTGATCTGTGTTTTTAACAGGGGGATTCAGGAGGTCCTTTGGTTTGTGGAGACACCGTTATTGGTATCACTTCTTTCGGTGACCAGTATCTCTGTAATTCACGTTTGTTTCCTAATGTGTATACTAGGATTTCAGCATATCTTCCTTGGATCCAGAAATATTTAGTTATTTCATAAAAAAAGGAAAAAATATTTTTCTCGAATTGCTCTATAAATCTTTCAATAAAAAATATCAAATGCCAAGCATCAATTAGTTGTATTGTCTTCATTGTCACAGCCATTCAATATGAAATAAATATAATTAAAACATTATGAGGTTTTAAATCTATTGGTCAAACATTTTTTCAGACTAGCGAAAAATAAGTGGCATAAAATATTTTACAATAGTGCGCTTCAATTCAATGGTTGTTTTATATTTTTCATTGTGTTTTTTAAGAGCTTACTGCATGCATTTTGAAATTTAAAAGGTTTTATTTGAGCAAATGACTTTAGCCTCATTGTCATGGTGCAGTTTGCAAATAAGATCAGCATCTGGCTAATAAATCTCTAAAAAATCTATTTAAAATCAGTATTTTGATTGGTGACAACTTATCATCCAAATCCACCCTCATTTTGCTGGTGGTTTTCTTGTGTTTTTAGCCTCTGGTAATTAAATATATATATATATATATATATATATATATATTAAGGGTGGAGCCGAATACGGTATTCGGAAAGGCACGAATAGCGTGTTTTTACGAATACTTATTTCGAACAAATACTTGAAAAATTATTTGTATTCAGGAGCAAGAAAAGCATATCAAAAAGCAGCGTTTCCTCCTGAGACCACAGTGCGTGAGTGAGAGAGAGAGAGAGAGAGAGAGAGAGAGAGAGAGAGACGGAGGGCGGGGCGGAGGTAAAAGGTCTCTGGCACACGCTTCTCCACAGCAGCAGACAGAGAAGGCTCGGCTGAGCGAAAAAAAATACTTCTCTGCATCACTATTTTGTACCTTAATTGGGTTCCAGATGCAGTTTTTTAAACTTGTAGCGGAGTTTGTTCGGGATTTTCCATTACGCTGCATTTCTGAAGTTTGCAATCGGGTGCTCTCTGTTTACGTAACGTTAGCTCTGTTAGCGCGGTAATTTAGACAATAGACTGTTGACAGAGTAACGTTAACGTTCGTTTATAAAGGTTAAAACGATGCTTTTGCAGTTGTGTCGAATAGTATGCACTTATGGGAGTTATATGGTACGTCTAAATAACTGTCTTTTGCAGACAGCAAGATATATGCTATAGGCTAGTTAACCTTAGCATAGCTTCCCGTCACTTTTTATTAACTTGAAACTCCTCAAATACATTTGGGCACCATGAAAAAGAGTGAGAGTGCTGCTGAGCCATTTCTTAGTCCTCCACCAGTAAAAAAAAATAAAACTTCATGTTCTTTGTGGAAGCATTTTACAGTCAGTGGTGCTGCAGATAAAACAAAGTGATACTATATAATGTGTGCAAAAGTGAAATCAGCAGAGGCAGAGATATTAAACATCTGTCAACATCTTCTATGCATAATCATTCATTTTCTTTTCGGCTTAGTCCCTTTATCAATCTGGGGTTGCCACGGTGGAATGAACCACCAATTTATCCAGCATATGTTTTACGCAGTGGCTGCCCTTCCAGCTGATACCCAGCACTAGGAAACATCCATACACTCTCTTTCGCACACATATAATAGGGACAATTTAGCTTACCCAATTCACCTATATTGCATGTGTTTGGACTGTGGGGGAAACCGGAGCACCCGGAGGAAACCCACGCCAACATGGGTAGAACCCAGTCGAGGCTCGAACCAGCAACCTTCTTGCTGTGAGGCGACAGTACTACTCACTGTGCCACCGCGCAACCTTCTATGTAATGTATTATCACATGCACTAAAAGCATCCTCTCCTGATACTGTCTGTAAACCCCACACAAGCATCAATCCCCTCAATCAGCACAGCTATGTTCTGCTAAATCCTCCACAAGCACCAAACCATCAACACAGCCACATTCTGCCAGATGACAATAGCAGGGCTGTATCTTTTAGTATTATATAGAATACTTTTGTTCTGCCAGATCTCCCAGGCAGGGTTTTATTTAGATTTATTTAGTTAATTTTAGTTTTTGGAATTCTGTGCATTGGAAAAAAGTTCTTTTAGAAGAAGAACAGTTTTTTTAAATATTATTTGTTTTTATTCTGTCTATTCAGTGTCCTTCAACAAGAACGGTGGTGGTGGGGTTCATAATATTCACAATGGTATTTTATTAGTTGTTGGTTTAACCATAGATGAGATAATGGCTTCTATGTTATTTTCTTTTTAATGACATTTCTTGTCACATGTTCAAAAACAACAACCAATATTGCATGTCTATAATTTATATAATGGGTATAATTAAACAATACTTTCACTATAACGTAAATTAGAAGTGTAATAGAAAACATATATATTTTTGCGCCATTTTGAATTTTACTCGAATACAAATACAAATACAAATACTTTTCCCCCTCAACAAATACAAATACAAATACAAATACCGGCTGCTCCGCACATCCCTAATATATATATATATATATATATATATATATATATATATATATATATATATATATATATATATATATATATATATATAATTAATGTATGAGACATTGAAGCAACCTTAAAAATAGGGGTGAATTACGCTAAACTCCATAGATTTCAAACTTTTCATTAAGAAAAACAAAACGTACACTGTTACATACCTCAGGTCACTAGCCACTCAATGGACTTTTTAGAAATTTGTTAATAGCATTAAGGATGAGGTCATTGTGCTGGGTTAATATGCCAGAGTAATTGGCTATTTATTCCGCTGTGACGACCCCTCATGAATGAGGTACTAAGCCAAAGTAAAGTGAGTAAGTAGATCAAACAAACTTGGCAGATATGCTAGATAAATATAAACCAAAAAGAGCTTTCAGATTACAAGGTTAAAGCCAGTTAATAACAAATATCATTCCTTTAAAGAGCCCCTATTATACATTCCAATTGTCATATTTTGGTTTTGAGGGTCTCCAACGACAGGCTGATATGCATGCAAGGTGGAAAAACACTTTAATTGTCTTATTGTGCATTTATTTTTTACTAATTATCCCAATGTCTCGCATATGATTTGTTCAGCGAATCATGTGTTCCCAAACCCCTCCTTAGCATTATGCTAATCTGCGCTGATTAATCCACTGAGCCAGTCTATTGTGATTTTACGACTTCGTTCAGTGTGAGACAGAGAGAATCGCCCACCATGGCTTATCAACAAGTAGTCAGAGTGCAGAGTATATGTGTGAGTCCAATGGATGAGTGCACTTAAGCAATACAGTTGAACAGCAGCAAATTGCTCTTTTCAAAACATGGCAAAAAAGCTCAGCTATTTTGAAACTTGACTGCTGCATGTGTGTAGGAACAGCTGATGGTGGCCATAACAATGACAAAGGGCAGAGGATTGCGAGCTCACAAACACATTTAAATCCATAAAGAAAGTGGCATGCTCTGCGTTTTCAACATGGCTTTAGACGCGATATGTGAATATAAAGAGTTAACCAGATACAGTCCAAGCCGCATGAAGCAATTACAAGTGACAAAACACAATTAAATACATGTTTTGCAAGCAACCAATTTAACCACACTTACACTGGTGAAATGAAGGAAGAAACTGATCCATGAACTGTTTATTAAAGTTTCTGTTAAGCTCTGACAAAGTCCCATACATCAATAGCCTTTTCTGATCCTTACTTTAACAAACAGCCGGCAAATACCCCATTGCAGGGTAGACTATTGCATTAACCACCAAAACGTTCACACATTAGCCTAATGTTCAAACACCTTCAGTCTTAATCAATCCCACACACACCCGCTCTCTGCTAGTGTTTGAAGGGAAAGGAGTGTTCAAGTTTGACCGGATCCGGCACTTCATATTTGGTATTGTCAAGTTCCTTTAAGGCAAGTCATTTCACTCAGCAGCCATCTTTAAAATGCTTCTCAGGCAGTATACTCGGGCATTCTGTCTAAATTAGGGAAATCAAATTCTTCAAAACTACTTGCCAAGCTTACATTTCCAAGATTACATTTCATATTACAAATAACAACAATTGTCTATTTAGTTTCACTTTTGAATGTTTGTATTACACATACTGCAGAATCTGCAGAAAATCACATTTGGTCCAATCCCCTCCTCTGGAGAATTGTCATTCGATAGTAATCGCTGAATGGGTACTGTACTAGAAAGAGGGCTTTAAGCACCATATAGCGATCGCTAATTGGCTCCTGTACTAAGGCATGCCTTAATTCGCCATATTGACAGTTACACTTTTCCCCAGTCAAAAGGACACGTCTTGTGTATTCTAGAGTCTTTGGCATTGTTTCGTGTCAATGTCGATGCGAACAGGAAAAAAAATCTGAAAGAACAACGAATCATTTGATTGACTCTGAGTCAAATCTTTTATTTAAAAAAATTGTAATGTAAGCAAAATGTACAAAATGGCATAGGCTATTGTTAAGCAATAATTTTATATAAATAGCCAAGTTTTACAAAATAAAAGCAAATTAAATTGTTTATTTGGCTCATTACTAGTAGCTGAATGGTTGCCAAGTAACAGCCACATGTATATGTTTGTAGAGTCATTTTGCTTGTACACTGTTAGACCTTACCAGGCTTTTTTACAGTAGAACACTGGCAACACTGTTGCCAGCTACTCACTGTAAAAGTTTGGTTACAGTAAGTAACTGGCAACAGTGTTGCCAGTTAATTACTGAAACTGAACCATTACAGTGAGTGGCTGGCAACAGTGTTGCCAGTTGTTTACTGTAACCGTACCATTGCAGTGAGTAGCTGGCAACAGTGTTGCCAGTTAATTACTGTAATAGAGCAGTAGTGGTAACTAACTGGAAACTGTGTACAGTTAATTACTGTACTGTAGTGTTACAACTCACAGCATTATACTGCATACACAATAGTATGTCAAGGTGTTACTAAAATTAATTAGTATTCTTACCTGTTATTAATTCTTTAAATTAATTAAGTTGTAAATTCTGACAAATTTATTTTATTGTTTTGGCAGCAAACAAATATAAAACAGAAAATGTATAACAAAATTAAGAAATCAGCAGACAAATATCATCTTACATATTAC